GGTCACAAAGAGCAAGTGCCACTGAGATGGCTCAGCAGGTAAAGGTGATTGCACCGAACCTGACAACCTGAGTTCTATCCCCAGGACCGGTGTGGTGGAAGGAGACAGCTGATTCCCGAAAGTTTTTCTCTGACCTGCTTTCACACCCCTACACACATGGGGTGTGGGGGGAGAGGGAGAAGGAGAATTTTAAGTACATAAAAACATAAGTAAGAACAATAGTATCTGCCACAGCATAAAAAAGACAAAATGCTTGAGAATACATTCAACCAAAGACATACAAGACCTATCCCACTGAAAACTATAAAACAACATAGAAAGGCATTACAGCCCTAGGGGGAGAGAGCTGGTGTGCATGGAGTAGAAGAACAAATACTATTAAGGTGGGTGGTAACCCTCCCTCAAACCAGTGCCCAGGTGCAATGCAACCCTGACAGAATCCACCTGCCTTCTTTTTTTTTTTTTCAGCAATTGAAAATGCAATTCTAAAATTGATTTGAAAACACCAAAGATGCAGCATAGACAAAACTGTTGATTGCAGAGAATTAAACTGAAAACACATACTCCAGTTCTAAACTCACTCTAGAGCTACAGTAATCCATGCTGTGGGGGCCAGAGTTTAAAGGGCTTGCCATGCAAACGTGGGGAGCAGAGGTCAGCCCCACAGAACCCGCATAAATGCCCAGTGGACACAGTGACCCATTTGTAATACCAGCCTCAGAAGGGAAAGCCAGAGGGTCCTCAAAGCCGGCAAGCTAGTGAGAGTAGCCACATCTGGCTTTGACTGACAGACCCTGCCTCCATGATTACAATGAAATGCAATCAAGAAAGACTCTTAACGATGGCATCAGTCCTCCGCGTGTGTGTGCAAACCTTCAAGCACACCATATACATTCAGAAACATTCATATATATGCATGCACTACAGACAGACACAGAGATGGGTAAAATAATGGAAGGAAAAAAGGAGAAACCCAGAGATCAATGGAATAGCACTGAAAGCCCCTAACTAAATCGTCACATTCACAGTCAACTGATTTCTGACAAGGGTGACTTGAGAGCCTTTTCAACAAATGGTGCTGAGGCAACTAGATACCCACATGAGAAAGAGCGGATTTGGACACTTCCCTTAGATCATCTAGAGAAGGAGCTCAGAGTGGATCAAAGGCCTAACTAAATATAAGAGCAAAAATGATGAAAGTCGTAGAAAACACAGGGAGCGATAAATGTTCCTGACCTTGGCGTTGTCGATGGTTTCTTAGATACATCAAAAGTGCAAACAAACACAGAGGGGAAAAGAAAACAGATTATTACCAAAATTAAAGATGCTCTGTGCTTCAAAGGACACTGTCAGTGCAGTGAAAACCTCACAGGATGGAGCGAAGCCTTCAGTTGTCATCTGAAGAAGCTCCAGCGTCCAGATGTGTGAAGAATGGCTGTGTCTCATAGACGAAAGGGAAAGAGGAGAAGCAGGGGGAAAGGGAGAAGGGAGGGGGAAGAAAAAGAAGAAATGGGAAGGAGAGAAGAAAGAAAAGGAAAGGTCTGCAGGATGGCTCAGTGGGTAAAGGCACTTGCTGCCGAGTCTGGGTAACTGTGTTCAATCCCAGGACCCACATGTAGTAGAGAGAGAGCCTGCTCCTAAAAGTTGTCCTTCGACCTCCACGCCCATATGCACATGTGTACACACACACACACACACACACACACACACACACACACACACTAAGAAACGGATAACTGAGACAACTCGTTTTTAAAAGCAGATGAAGTTCCTAAATGGGCATTTCCCCAAAACATATATGAAACAGCCGATATGTGTAACAATACTAATTATCAGAGAAATGCAAATCAAATCTCAAAGGTACGTGCCTGAGAAGAGTGAAAATCGGTGGCATGTGTCTTCCTGGGGAGACATGGGCAGACTCGCCTCACCCCAGGTAGGGCTCTGACAAGAAATCAAACAAACACTTAGTGAACCAGTGAATCTGTGGGGGTTATGGGCAGATGCGTGGACGCTGGCAGGAGCAGGATGACATGCACTTAGCTGCCTGTGCGATGACTCATGAAACCACCATGTACACTGTCATGCAGCTCAGGTGATCAGAGTCGTCCTTCTCCGTCGCCTGTGACTGTTCACATGATCCCCCGCCCCCCCCCCCTTAGGAGTCTCATCAGTTTCAGGAACTTCCTGGAAGTTTCTGTTTTGCTGACTTCCTGAGTCCTGAGGAGCTTCCTTGGGAGGAAGGGATCTTTTTAGTTTGGACAAAATTGCTGCACGACATATAAAAACAAAACACACACACAGAGAGAAAGAGAGACAGAGAGAGAGAGAGAGAGAGAGAGAGGAGAGAGAGTGAGAGACATTCTGTGCCAGTGTGTGATTCACAATGCCCCAAATGGAAACACCCCAAATGCCAGTAGTTGGTAAGTGAAGGCAAAGGACGTGGTTTAGTCACAGCTGGAAAAGAGACCAGAGTGCTTGAATCCACGTGCACCCAGGAACAAGAGAGGAGACATGGAGAAAGAGTGGCTCACACAGAGGGCTTGTCTTGACCAGTTGAAGCCGAGCATGGGAGGAAGGCCCATGAGGATTCTGTCCCAGCAGGGAGACACCTGAAGCAGTGCCTTGGGAGGCAAGAAACCAGAGCATGAGGAATGTGGGGAAGGAGGAGGCATAGTAGGCAGAACACACCAAGATTGCTCCAAGTCCAGACCTGAGACAAGGCAGGAGAACTTGGACACTGGGTCCTGGGTTCACTACTCTACCTTGCAACACAGAAGTCGACACGGGATCTGGTGGTTTGATAGCATCAGTTGCTTTTCTCACAGCTGTTGCAAAAAAAAATACCAGCCACAAACACCTCAGAAGGAGGATTCATTTTGACTTATGGTTTAGAGGGTCTTAGGGCATCACCGCGAGACAGGCAGAGGGCGCACATGGAGGCTGTCTACTTCATGGCTGACCATGACCCAGCATGAGATAGCAAGCAGCCAGGGATAACAGATCTGCAACAATGTCCCCCACTTATTTCCTCTAGCAATGCCCTACCCCCTAAATGTTGGACAACTTCCAAAAATGGTGTCACCAGTATGAGACCAAAACTGCAAAACATGAACCCGTGAATCATGTCACTCCATCTGTAACATCTGTCATCTTTCATACCGTGAAAAAATATCTGGGTACTGGTCCGAGAACCCAGAAGAACCTCTGTGTATAGACATGAACGTCCCACCAAGAGCTCATCTGCCCTTAGCTGTCTTGACACAGCCTAGCGTCACCTGAGAAAGGAGTCTCCACTGGGGATTGATTGCCCACATTACATTGGCTTCTGGATATGTCTGTGGAAGACTGTTGATGAATGTAGGAGGGCCCCGCCCACTATGGGCAACACCATTCCCTAGGCTGTCTGAGAAAGCTAACTGAGCATGGACCTGTGAGCAGTCCGGAAAGCAGCATCCTCCCAGGGCTTCTGCTTCAAGTTCTTGCTCCAGTTTCTGCCCGTCTTTCCCCGGTGATGGACTGTGGCCTGCAAGTGTAGGATGAAATAAACTCTGCCTTCCCCTAAGCTGCTTGTGATCAGGTCTGTTTTATTTCCCCCACTGCAGCAGACACGAAACTGGAACACAGCCCCCTTACCTGCCCACTCTGGCGCCGACACGGCTTGGGCTAGTATCTCATTTTCGCTGGTTTTGGTGCTTTTAGTATGGCGGGTCTGTCTTTCACACCCTAGCAGACCTCAGAAGGGAACCTCTTAACTCCGAGCAGCATTTAACTCTGCTCTTTAAACATCTGGGTCACAGATATGCTCAGTTAATTAATGTTCTTAGCACTGTTCATTTGCCTGCTGGATAATAGATTGATTCATAATTTCAACAAGCAGCTGTGTATATCTTTCCCTGGAACATAAAGGCAGCCTGCTGTCATTCATCAATTTGCATTTGGGTGAATTGAAACATACTTGGGGCAGTGTTGTTTGGGGAGGGGGAGGGGGGGCTTCTGAGTTTCTTACCATTTTGCCTCGAACAATTCCTCTGATTTGGAACTAATTTGCGTGTAGGGCACACATTCATGGCATCTCTCTCAAGGACACTTAATAAGCCTGCTATTGCATGTTCAAGGGGAGAAGCAAGGCTCCCTTTGGGAGATCGGAGCCAAGGGTTTCTGAGTAGCTTTCGCCAAAAGATGAGAACCCCTCCAGAAAATCTTATCACCAGAGAAGAGTCACTCCTGTGCCTGAGCAGAGTCCCCTAGTGTATTGGTTCCTTTGCTCACTGTTGTTACAAAACACCTGACAAAAAAACGGAAGGAAGAAAGGGCTAATTGGGGCTCACGGCCTAAGGTACAGTCATGCTCATGCTGGCAATGGCCTAATAGCAATGAAGAGAGAGATGAACACTGCAGCTCAGCTCACTGTCTCCTTTTTATTGAGTCCAGGACCCCAGTGTGAGACTGGTGCCACCCACATTTAGGGTGGGTCTTCCCTCCTCAGTTAATGCCCAGAAAAACCTTCAAGGGCATGCCCAGAGATTGCATTTGTATTCTAGATGATTCTAGATCCTGTCAAATTGGTGATCGATAATAGGCATCAAATCCTACTATCTTCCTGGTTGATTCCTAAGCAGAACTTGACAGGCTCTGTGGAAGGCTCAGTGGTTTTCCAAAAGTCTAAAAGTCCCTTCTGTTGAGCTGTGGGACCAGAGAAAGAGGTTGGGGGGGGGGACAGAGGGGAAGGAAGAAAGGGGGAGGGAATAAAGGAGGGAGGGGGGAGGGAGGAGGAGAAACAGATGGAGGAATAAGGGAGGGAGGTTTGGAGGAGGAAGGTATAGAGGGAGAGGGGAGTTGTGGGGTAGCAGTGTCCAGGCTCAGCTAGCCCGCTGTCCTCCAAGAGCCACTGTCCTGTGTGTTGGGCATTCGGAAGCGACTGGAATGGACAGAAAGCGGAGGTAAAGCTGGGGACATGAGCCATGGTGATCACCCTTCCCACCTTTCCTCCTCCACAGCTCGCCCGCTATACCAAGGAAGGCTTCCTGCACTTGGGTGCTCTGGGGACCACCACACTCCTCCCTGACACCCGCTGCCTGGTGGACAACTCCAAGAGTCGGTTGCCACAGCTCCTGGACTGTGACAAGGTCAAGAGCAGCTTGTACAAGCGGTGGAACTTCATCCAGGTGAGCTCTGTGGGGACATGGCTGGGGGGAGGAGCAAGATGCTATCAGCCACGGGGGAGAGGTTGTCATGGTGTGATGTCCCCAAGGCTGCACACACAGTGCTACTGAGAAGCCAGCTCTGCCAGCCTTGCACCAAGCTCACAGACCCATACCAGGAGGCCTGGAGGAAGGGTTCCCATGAGAAGTGGCCTGTCTGATTCCATCACCAGAGTTGGAGCTGCTTAGGATAAGCCATAGAGAGGATTCCTGAGCACTACTATGTATTCTCAACCAGGACTGAGAAAGTCAGCTCTCAGATACCCCTGGGAATTTCTGTATGTACACAGTCCTGTGTATGCAGGCATGAATGTATATATACATGTGGAGGTCAGAGGGGAACCTTCAGGTGCTGACTACCTTTATTTTATTTTGTTTTTAAGATTTTATTTTTATGTGTGTGTGTGTGTGTGTGCGCGCGCGCGCGCGTGTGCACATGCACGTGCACATGAGTGCAGTACTCACAGAGGCCACAAGGAGGTGCTACCTCTAGAGGTGAAGTTACAGATGGTGGGAGTTGGGCTGGGAACTGAACTTGGATCCTCTGGAAGAGCAGCAAGTGCTGTTAACAGCTGAGCCATGTCTCCATCCCCTACCCTGGTGGGGTTTGTTTTGTATTTGTTTTTGAGACAGGGCTCTCACTGGCTTGGAACTTGGCACGTAGACTAGGCTGGCTAGTCAGTGAGCTGCAGGGATCCTCCTGTCTGTCTCCCGAGCACTGGGCTTCCAAGTGCACAACACTATCCCCTAGCTTTTTTTATTTAAGTTTTGGGAATCAGACTCAGGTCTGCATGCTTCCATGGCAAATGTGCACAAGATGGATCTCAGGCTATTGGGCTTGGCAAGCTATCTCAACATCCTGCCCCCAGGATGTCTCTATCCTGCCTCAGTTGCCACCATTTGCCCCCACCTTCATTCAGCCACTCCAACAGGGCAGCCCCCAGGGACCCTTCCACGGCAGGAGAATGTGGATGGGATCTGTTCCCCCAGGAGAAGTCACAAGTACAGGAGCTACAGTGGTGAAGTCTCCATCTGCCTCTCTCTCCTTGTTTCTTTCCTTTCTTTCCTCCCAGAATGGAGCCATCATGAATAAGGGCACAGGGCGCTGCCTGGAGGTGGAGAACCGGGGCCTGGCCGGCATTGACCTCATCCTCCGAAGCTGTACCGGACAGAGGTGGACAATCAAGAACTCCATCAAGTAGATGGAAGGGAAGAGGGCACATGGAGCCTGGACCCAGGACAGGGCCTGGCGAGCCTCGGAACCGGCCACATGGTGGAGAAACAGCAGGCGCCCAGAGGGTGTTCAGGGGACCTCCCAGGGCTCCTCCCAGGCAGCCCCGAATAAGGATGTTAAGTCCCTCTCAGGCATTCAGCCTGGACACTCTGAAGATCTCCCCTCACCCATGTCTGGGAGACCAGGAGCTGCATCTTCTGGGTACCAAAGGGCGAGACTGCCCTTAGCTCTCTACCATACCATCTCCTACCCAGCACCAGCAGCTGGGTGTGGCAGAGTCTCTCCCTCTCTCTCTTTCTCTCTCTCTCTCATTTTCTCTCTCATCATTCTTTGCTGCAGCTGCTTGTGAATCTCACCCTGGCCCTCCAAGAAATGGGGGGGGACACTGGAGGCTTTAGCCACATCCTAGCTCCCTCTTAGAGAAGGAGGGGGCAATGAGACCCTGAGACTTCATTTCTCCTGAGGACACTTTGGCCCAGGTGACTGTTCATATGTCAAAGCGGCCACCACCCAGACCTTCCCAACGGGGTGACTTTGGGACAGCGGTTCTGGTTCTGAACTCTTGATTCTTCTTGAAGCACCCTGTCTCGGTCACCTGGAGTCCGAAATATGAACAGCACCTGCCTATGTCTAGAGGGAGCCAAAGTCAGCTAAGCATGCAGGATGCTCACAGTTCCTGGTCAGTACAGCCAGGGCCAAGGTGTCCTGGTTTCCTGGAACAGCAAGGGTCTTCTGTGCAGGACATAAGGGCTGAAGAAGTCAGCCTAGCCATGGGCACAGGCCCCTCCGCAATGCTTAGCGCTCACTTCATATCACCCCACGCTCTGCTGGCCGATGGGGGACAGAAGCAGCAGTTTCCTCTTGTAAGAGTGATTGCTTCTTTCCAATTGCCCTCTGGTTAGGGTGCACTTATAAATCAGAGTTAATATATGGCTGTGTCTGCATGCGCGGGAAAGCAAGAGTGTGCCTGCCTGGGTGATGTGTGTGGCCGGGCGCTGTGTTTGTGTGCTTGAGTGTGTGAGTGTGTTAGAGCAGAAGTAGCTGTGTGGTCTTGGGCTTGTGGCTTCATTGCTCACTGGATGGGGACAAGGGTGCCTAGAAGTCTGGGGGGGGGTGGTTAACGGCCCCATGTCCCTGGATCACTGGCCCAGAGGACATGACTGGGTCTTGCCTGCTAGGATACCCCTTCTCTGTCTCCCCATCCCCATCCACTATTGCCCTTGGCCAACTCCTGCCCAGAGCCAAACCCTGTAGATGCCCAGTGTGAGATCCAGTGTCTCATTTGGTGGTATCTCCATTGGTGATCATCCCTTGCCCCATCTCCCCTCCTTGTGAAATAAATATGGTAGCAATCCCACAATGCAAACTTCAGCCTCATCTGCCTTTTGGTTTCTGTATTGTTTGCTTTTGTTATTATTTTGCATTTGGGGATCAAATCCAACGCAAGCGCTCTATCATCAAACTACATACCCTCAAAAACATGGACTTCATTATTCCTGGGCCCAGTGACAGCAGGAGACAGTCTAAGACGGGGTACAGTGTTTCTTTGCTTTAGTGGCAGTTGACATTTGGTTTGATTTGGGACAAGGCCTTACTCTGTATGTAGCCCAGGGATAAAATACCCTGACAAAAACCTTGTTAGGGGAGCAAATGTTTACATGACTCACAATTCCAGGGTACACTTCACCATTTTAGGGAAGTCAAAGCAGGAATTGGGAGCAGCTGCTCGGCCACCTTTATGTCCAGTCAAAATCAGAGAGAAATTAATGCCTGTGTGCTTGCTTGTGCTAAACGCAATTTCTCCACTTTTATGCAGTCCAGGGCCCCCTGCCTAGGGATTGATGTTGCCCATAGTGGGCTGGGTCTTCCCACATCAATTAATTAACCAGCCTCACAGGCCCTCCCATGATACAGTCCGGTGTAGACACTTCCTACTGAGACTCTTCCTAGGCTATGTCAGGTTGACAAAGCTAGTGATCATTGGTGACACGCCTGTCTGGGTTAGGTCTTATTAAAGGTAAACAAATCAACTACATCCTTACAGGTTGGATTGAGACAAAGCCTACCTACTTATTTGTTTGTTTCTCCATACGGGGTTTCTCTGTAGCTTTGGAGCCTGTCCTGGAACTCAGTCTGTAGACCAGGCTGGCTTTGAACTCATAGAGTTCTTCCTGTCTCTGCTGGGATTAAAGGTGTGCATTGCTACCACCACCTGGCAGCCTGCCTACTCTTACACACAGCATCCATTCAAACCTAGGCAGAACTTGACATTTGACACTAGCTCATGCTCCCCCTGGCTGATCTCAGGTTAAGGTCAAGTTGTTCAGAGAGCCGTGAGCCTGGTGCTGCAGACCTGGCCTGGTCACCTAGCCTGTTGTCTCCAGCAACTTCCACTGCCCATGGTGCACATAGTATCTCCTGGGTGTTCCTAGAGAAGTTGAATCCTACAAGACACCTTGTTATGGTAATGGGGGGACCCATGTCATGTCTCTCTTATAGGAAGAAACCAGGAAGGACCATCTTAATGTACACACACACAGAGGGAGAGAGAGAGAGACAGAGACAAAAAACAAAGACGGATGTGGATGTAGAGGTAGACACGGATATGGGTTGCCACATTACAATGTTCATCCTCAGTTGTCATCCTAAATACCGTAATCCCAGGGAAACTGAAGAGCAAACAGCTTGAGAACTTCGGGTTTGGGGATCAATGGACAAGGGGAGGAAAGAGTTGGCAGGCCAGAGAATATGCAAGCTGCATTTGGGCTAATGTACAAAACCTCCGGAGGTTGCATCCACGTGGGGTAGAAAGGCTGGTGTTTTGGAACTTCAGTGCCGTGAAGTACCAGGTCAGGATATCTGTCTGGCTTGCTTCATGGTAGTGAATGCTGGGTTTGGTCTCGGAAGGATAATTCCCTATGGACATCAGCACCCAGGCACTGGTCCTTGGTCCCAGGGTCCAGGGGCTGATATGGCCATTCCCGTACACACTGTATGTCATCAACTTCCTCCCAAAGACTGGGGTCAGCATCCCGGTCATGCTATGGTTCTACCTGGTGGCACAGGTTAGAGTGGCTGGAGGCCAAGGAAGAAAAGAGATTGGTTCAAAAGGGGGGCGGGGGAGGAGGCAGGTCGGAGAACGGCCGGCTGAAGTGAATTTGAATGTGGAATGTCCCTGGAGGGTCATGTGTTTGATGACTTGATCCACAGAAGGCTGTGAAATCCCGGGAGGTGAGACCTTGATGGAGGATATGAGTCACTAGGGGCGAGCTTTGAGGGCTCTTGTTTTTATTGGGGTGTGTGTGTGTGCACGCCCATGATTGTGCGTGAGTGTGCAGGGGTCAGAGGACAATCTTTGGTGTCAGATGTTACCTTGTACCATCTTTGAGGCAATGCCTGTTGCCTCTCACCCCTGCATATGCCAGGTTATCTGGCATGTCAACTTGTGGGAACTCTCCTGCCTCTGCTTCACATATAAACTGTAGGAGCGCTGGATTACAGACATACTACCACAGCCAGCTCCACATGGGTTTGGGGGGTCCTGTGCAGCAAGTACTTTGCCCCCTTAAGTATCCTCCCAGCCCTGGGATTCTTTGTTTGTTTTTTCAAGACAGGGTTTCTCTGTGTAGCCCTGGCTATCCTGAAACTCACTCTGTCGACCAAGCTGGCCTCGGAGATCCACCTGCCTCTGCCTCTGGAGAGCTGGGGTTAAAGGCATGTGCCACCACACCCAGCTAGCTGACATTGCTATGGTACAGACTTTCCACCAACTCTCTGCTTCTAGACTATGGATGCAACGTGGCCAGGCAGCTCACAGTCCTGTGGCCATCCCTCTCCTGACATGATGGACAGACCCTTCTCAGACCCTGAGCTGACATTGTTCTTAATCAGGTGTCTTGTTGGAAAGAAGTGAAGTTGGTAACACAGAGCCCTGGGGGAAGCTTTGGTCCCAAGTCCTTGGAGTGCTGGGATCCCCCAGTGATGCCGTCTTGCCCAGTAATGGAGAAGCAGCAAGCTCCAAGCATTCAGCTGGAAGGATGCGGTCTTTCACCAAAACCTGGTACACAGCATAGTTTAAGAAGTAACATCAGTTTGTTACTGTCACCAACATCTTGGCCTCAGGGGTGGATGTGGCAGGGGGTGCTGGGCTCTGATAATCCTTCCCCTACCCCCTTCTTCATCCTCACACTGATCACACACACACACACACACACACACACACACACACACACTATGACCCTTTCTTTCTCTCTTCTCTTTTGATCTCTTAATAGCACAAATAGTATTTCTGATAAATGCCCAAGCTGTCAAAGCCAGTGTCTGTGAATCTATGTGTTGTGTCTCAAGTGTTTTCATTATGGTTGTGTTTAACTCTGGGGCCTAGAAAAGGAACAGCACAAAGCTGGGCGTGCACTGCATGTCTGTAATCCCAACACTCAGGAGGCTGAGGCAGGGGGGAAGCCATGAATTTGAGGCTGGCTATAATGTTAGTACTAGGCCAGCTGGGAATGTAAAATGAGACCAAGTCCCAAAAGCCATGGAGGAGAAAAGCATGGAGGGAGTGAGGGAGAGAGGAAGAAAGTAAAGAGGAAGAGAGGGAGGAGGGGAGGAGGGAGGAGGGAGGAGGGAGAAAAGGGAAAGATGGAAAGTGAGAGACGGGATAAAAGAGAAGAAAGGAGAGGGGAGGGAGGAGAAAAGCAGAAAAAGAGGACTCAGCAGCGTGGAAAGTGGCCACCATGTTGTCATCTTTACTGTCATTTCTGAATGCATTTTGCTTACCTAATACATTTTTCCACTATACTTGAAAAAAAAAATTCCCATTTTACAAAGTGAGCCCCACGAGACCAAACCACTCTGCTAAGACTGTGCAAGCATAGGTTGTCCCCAGTTTATATGCCATGTGCCTTCCCTGTACCTTTCTTGGAACGCTTCCACAGGAAGGGCTAAATGACAGCTGGCTGGGGGCAGGGCTGTTGGAGCCTGCTGAGGTAGCCAGGTGGCTCCCGAAGCCTGGGTTAGACCAGGTGACCTGAGCCTGCTCACTGCCAGCCTCTGTTCCCATCTCAGCCCCAGATCACCATTCTGCTGGCTTTTCCTCTTCTTGCTCAGAAAATACTTTTTCATTGATCATGTAACTTTTCTAGATCTGAGTTAGGGGACTGATGGGAGATTTTTCATTCTGTAAAATCACTTCAGTGCCCTTTGACAAGTGTATTTAATCACTTCTCCTGTGGGGTGCTTTGCACAATTTCTCTTAGAAGTAAAGCCGGGCA